AGACAGAGAAGGGCTGATGCAAGTGGAGAGAGGCTTACTTACTCTTCAGAGGATGGATCTGAATCCATTCTGCCAGCTTTTGTGGGCTTTCAGTTAAAACTCCCTCTTCATCAGTTGGGGGTAGGGTTCCTACATTGGCATTCATTGGTAAACAGAAACCACAGCCTGAGGATCAGACATTACAGACTGAGACAGAGCTGGGACGATGATCACAGACCTACGAGAGGATGCCAAGGGCCTGCCTGAGATGCCAAGAGGTAGGAAGTGGGACACAGAAGCCTAGATGAGAGGGAGGAGTGACCCGGACATGGATAACACCAAAACATGGAAGGAAGCTTCAGAGTTGCTAGGCAACAAGAAATGGCCGGACCACAGAGAGCAAAGGGGAGCATTTAAAGCAATGAGGCAGGGTGCTAGGTAGGGGTCAAATCACCCACTACCTTAATTCTCTTTTCAGACTCAAGTCTTTACCCCTATACCAAGGGCAGCTGTGTAGAGTCCTGCTGTTTTGCCTTTGGCCACTAGGGGGCAGTATCTCCTCTCACATAGTCAGAGACTCCAGAGCCTCTCCAAGCTGGCCGACTGCAGATTCCCCACACCTTTGTTCTCATTGTCAACCAGGGCCTTTCTGTGCTGCTGGGGGCAAGTGAGGCCTGTGGGCCTCTTCTCAGAATCTTGTTCTCTTTGTGTTTTTCTTTGTTTTGAAACAATCTTGCTATGCTAACCAGATCAACCTTGAACTCCTGGCTTAAAAGATCCTCTTGTCTCACAGCCCTGAGTGGATGGGCATAGAGGGGTCACTATTCCCAGCATTGTAAAGTGTTTTCTTGACTGCCTGGCTCCTTTATAACAGCATCACACTAAAGTCCAGGTTAGTTCACTAGCTAAACAGTTTACTGTGATGTCCAGCTACCAAGATGCAAAACATAAAATTTTGATAGAATGTGTGTTTCTTTATTAATACAGTTAACAATATTCATTCAGAGGTCTACTGGCTGCAGTTACTGTAGCAAAGGTATTGCTGAGTGCACAAGGCATGTTAAAGTATTTCCAATAACTACAATGTAATGTAAAATATATCTGTGATTTCGAGCCAGGTATGGCGACACACGCCCGTAATCCAAGCCCTCAAGAAAGAGAGGCACAATGACCAAGGCTAGCTTCAGAGTCCAGCCTGGGTTACAGGATGCCCTGTCTCAAATCAAATCTAGTATTTCAGTGTGAGTTGAAAGGCGCCTCCGGTGCTGCTGCCTTTACCATCACAAATTGCTAAAGTTTGATTAGCTGGGTGCCAAATTGAGATCTGCTTCCAATTCAAGTGTACAGACCTTATCAAAGGAAGTCAGGCAAAGGCAGGCAGAGAGAGATTCGGAGCACACAAGGAATGCAGGATGACAGCATCGAGCATGGACTTCTCCTCCCTATGGGCACAACTCGACTCCTTGACAGACTGGTGCTGTGTGAGGCCCCTGAGCCAGATAAGGCGCCTGCAGCCCTTTAGTCTAAGGAGGCTTCATCCTAGAGTTCTCAGGGCACTTGCTATGGAGCTTGGAGGGGGCTAAGAGTCATGTTGTCTTAACAATTTAAAAGACACGGTTCATTCAGAAACCCACAAGGCAGTTTGATAAAAGTTTTTTATAATTTTTTTTTATTTTATTTTTTTTTTTTTTTCCTTCTTTTTTTCTTCTTTTTGTTTTTTGTTTGTTTTTTTTTGTTTTTTTCATATTTGCCTGATCACTCTCCTTTATTTGCTGACCCTAAACTAAACTGTCCTCAGGAGGCTAGCGCTCCTGGGTGGACCGCACACTTTTTCAGAAGGTTCCATTGTCCAGATAGAGGTGACTCCAGCTAGCAGCTGAGCCCCTGGGGAGCGCACGATGTGCTCACATGGAGCAAACACGTTGCTCAACCCTGTAGCTGCACAGGTTTTCACCCCTCAAAACCAGTCCATGCCCCGAGGACAGAGCCCACATGTGGAGCAAGAAGGATTGCCCGGCAGACTGAGCCAAGCCGCTGCTGCGGCCCCAGCTCTGGGAGCAGAGGAAGGGGAAAATGTACAGCCAAACGGCTAGGCAGGACAAAGGGCCCGGCAACCACACCCAGCCATACTGGGCCCCAACAGGAATTGCAAAGACTGAAGACAAATGAGCCATTTCCACCTTCGTCTAGGCTGCGGGGACAAAGAGCACAATTACACTGGACCTAGGAAATGGGTCAGAGTCCCTGGCAGAGCTTGTAGGAAAGTCCAGCAGCAAGTCTTGACATCTTCATAAATCCACACGGATCAGCAATAGCGTTTGGACTTGCAGTCCACCCCCAACAAACCCCACCTCTCCTCCCTGGGTGCCTTGCTGAGCCTCGGGTCTTGAGATTGGGCTCTGGAGACAGTCTGAGACAACAGAAGGGTGCCATTGGCTTAGGCTTAGCCAGCAGTTTTAGGGGAAGATGGGAGTCAGATAAGAGCAAACAATTGCAGGGTTAACAAAGGTGTGGCTAAAGTTGTTGCATAGAAAGAGCCAGAAAGCCCAAGTGGCCAAACAAAACCATACACATCAAGGCTTCAGAACTCACAACTCGATGCCCAGTAGTAAAGCTAAGTCAGGGGCAGAGGGGGCTGTCCTTTCAACAGCATGGAAGTAGACCCTATGCAACCCGGAAGCAGCCCCAAGATCACGTCCATGAAGACCATGGTAACCCCAAAACTGCCCAGGCACAGACACTGAACTGGCAATGCTGAGACCTGTGCCCTGCTTCTGAGTGAAGTCTGGCCCTTGCTGCCTTTACTTCTTCACCTCATCAGCACAGGGTCCATGGGGCCCTGGCTTTCCCACACCACTAACTCTAGATGAGCCTGGCAAGGCCAACTCCCATACCAGTGCTCTAGAAGCAATGGAGATTGCACAGTGAGCAACTGGAAGTCTCAGGTCAAACAGTAGGAACTGGCTCTGTAGGATGTAGTGGGGAAATCACCATAATAAATAATAAATAAATAAATAAATAAATAAATAAAAGCAACCTCAGATGTTAAGCAGCCAAACAAGCAGCAGATTTTTTTTTCCCCCAGGAAGTCTGTGGTGTGGGGACTGTGAGATGCCACCCCAATGGCTGTGGAGCTGAGGAGGAGACACCACCAGGGTATAGAGAATTCTTATGAGAATGGGGACCGCCACCTACAAGCACCTCCCTCCTAGAGGGCACAGGCACTTCCTTCTGGTGAGAGCTGGCACTGCTTGAGGCTGATCTCAAACCTACACTCATCAGTCTCCCAGGGCTGGTCTGACGAAGTCCCAACACATAAGGTAGCCTAGCAGTTTTCAAAATCAATGCATTCAAGTGCACCATGTGCTCTCAGAGCTGTTTCTTATGGAGGTCCTGGAGTCTGTCTTGCTTCCTCATAGGCCCTGGCATCCCTTGGTCGGCAGCAGCATGACTTCCATCTTCACTGTCCCCTTCTTCCTCTGGTATCTTCTCTTTGTCCCTCTTCTGAGACACAAGGCACAGACTTAAGGACCTCCCTAACTCCAGTATGTGCGCATCCTTGACTTTTAATGATCGCATTTGCAAGGATACTGTCTCCAGATGAGCTCACAGTCGGTGGCCACGGGCGACAAGTCTGGTAGCGTTCAGCCCCGACACCAACCAGCAGGAATCCGAGGCAGACTGAAAGATCTCTGTGGGGGATTCTACACAGATGTTCCTGCAATCCAAACACCACACGCTCAGGTGATCGTCTGCTGGATGACGAGCAAAAACGACAGTCCCAAATGGGTATTATATGACAGGAAGCTCCCCTTCTGTGCTGGTGTGCACAGGGATGATGCTCAGATGTCCCCGAAAGTACATCTTTCTCTTCTCACTAATCGTGAACTATCACAAACATACGGTGAAACACGGAGACCAATGCAATGAGCCCCATGGACCCCCCCCCCCATTCAGGTTCAATCCATGCCAACATACTTTCAAATCCGCGTCCTTTAAATGGAACCTCACCCGAAGCCTCCTGCTACCTCTTCCTAGTCCCCCCTCGTCCTCTCCAGAGGTGAGTTCCCTCTCGCATACCGATGCCCTCCAGTGTGGCTCCAGGATCCTGAGAACATGGTAGAGAGCATCCTTCAGCTGTGATCTTTTGATCTTTCCCAGGTTGTCAACATGTGGTACGCTACACTCTCAAGCGGCTGGGCAGCCATGTGACCATGGAGGTCAGCAACTACGACTCTACAGGGTGCTGTGCTACTGAGTTAGGAGGCATTAGGTCTACTGAACGCACTTTCAACCTGGGGTTGGTTTATTCGGTTGGCTTGCCATCGGATCAGCCGAGGAGCACCTGGACTTTTATTACATATTTATAGATTCTCAGACTAGCTAGAGTTGTTTGTTCCAATTGGCACCGTAGTCTAACTGGCTAATCTAACCAGCTACCCGGGGCATGACTTCACACAATGTCTGCCACTAGCCTTTCCCCACAGAATGTCTGTTCAAGGTTTATCCATATCGATTCTTGCAGCTCCTGTTCCTTAATGCTTCTTCTACTTTCTCCTTGAAAGGCAGCTGTTTTCACTGTGTTACTGCTAGTCCAGCTGGAGCAATGGCATCTCTTTATCCCTGCATTGGGGTCTCACCAGGGTTTTTGAAAGAAGCCTTATCCACTAGGTATCAGCAGTACCACCACCCCACCCTCCCTCCTAACCTCCCTCCCGCAACCCTCATTCCCACCCCGATCCCAGTGAACACCATCAAAGTGTCTTGAGTTACCAAATGTTCCCTGGAGGGCAAAAGCACCAGTGGTTGAGATTCTCTGGCATCTACAGTGGGGGTGGAAGGGGTAGGAGGATGGATGGGGGTGGGGGGATATTGCTTTCACTAGCTGCCTTACAATGATTCTTCACAGTCACTAAAAATATGTAGTAGAAGGAGGGAGTGGGCTGTGTCCCGCCACCTGGCTAGCTTAACCCCCGAAATAATTATACAGAAACTGTATTCATTTCAACACTGCCTGGCCATTAAGTCTAGCCTCTTATTGGCTAACTCTCACATATTAGTTTAACCCATATCTAATAATCTGTATGTCACCACGAGGTCGTGGCTTACTGGGAGAGAGTCTAAACTACATCCATCTCAGGCCGAAGATTCATGGTGTCTGCCACACTTCCCTTCTTCCCAGCATTCTATTCTGTCTACTCCACCCACTTAAGGCCAAGGCAGTCTCTTTATTCAACCAATGAAAGCAACACACAAACAGAAGAACCTCCTACACCATTTCCCCTTTTTCTGTTTAAACAAAAAGAAAGGGTTCCACTTTAACATAGTAAAATTACATATAACAAAACAGTTATCAAGCAAAAATTACAATTACAGTATTTAGATCTATTTTATCTTTTATTATAACAAAGGAAAACTATAACTATCTATCTATTCTTCAACTCCATCAAAGACTCCAGAAGGATATAATATTACCGAAGTAAACAAGAAGTAAGCAACTTCCAAAACTCTAGAAATGACAGAACATCTCGCTGCCTGGACAGGCACCCAAAGTTTTTCTGTACCATTGGGGCATCTATCCTCAACCCTCAGGCCCATAGTATCCAGCAGACTCCCCCATGAAGCAGGAAATTTCAAAGACAGTTCAGTCACTTTCTTCTGTGTCCTGCAGAATGTCTCACAGACTCTTTCATGAATCAGGAACCCTGAAGAACCATCTCACCTTTAGGCAAGTTCAGCAGTCCTCTCTCTGCGGGTTCTTCCTGTCCAGTTTATGCAACAGTCCAGGCAAGAGCAGTTTCTTGCCCAAATGGCTATCAAACTCGATAAGGAGCATCTTCGATTCCCATCCTCCAACTGAAGTAGCTGGTGCTGCCAGGAGCAGACGTGTCTCATTGTCATGGAAAGCCCTAAGTTATTAAAAACAATTTTAAATGTCATATTCTGTAGTCCTTGAAAGATATGAAGAATGCCTATCCAACTGAAATATATCTTTATACATCTAGAAAACCAACCAACATGACCACAAGCCTGACCATTATTGATGATTATCCATTAACAACCTATATTTCCTAATTATACATTACATTTTTAAATAAACGACACAATTACAATACCTTAATCAAGAGCCAAAATACATATACATATAATAAGATTTATATCAATAAATGTCAAAATCTTAAATTTATATCAATAAAGCCAAATCCATACCAATGCAAATTATTCATATCTATATCACACCATATGCCCTCACACCAGTTGGTCCTGGGAGCCCCATGTCCAGACTCCTTACCAACACCAAATACTGCTTCAGACATCGTCACTGTGAGGGGTGTGAGTTGGTACTGATGCTTCTTTTAGTTGGAATATTTCCTCTTCTGTTTCAAAAAGCAAACAAGCACAAAGCAACTACCCTGGTCTATTCCTTCTTGTTGCTGATGCTAAGTCTTTGTTAGATTCTCCCCTCTCTGGGGTTGCCAAGGCAGGTGCCCAGCAGAGCGCTGAGCAACAAAACAGCTCCTCTGCCCCAGCCCAGACTAGATCCCTCCACCAAGAAGACCCATTCCCCTTCTCGGTGCTGTGGGGAAAGCTGAATGGCTTGCACCTTTTCTAGTGACCTGCTCTTGGGGGATCCACGGATTAGAAGGGCAATGTGGCTGGGAAGAGCGCGCGTGCAAGTGTCCAACCCAGGGCCCTCCTGAGAGCAGCGGCTGCAGCTGCAGTGACTGCAGTGGCATTCATGAACACCGGTGGCAGGCAGGTGCAGGTGAGCAAACAAGGGAAAGGGGTATCAACCTTATCCCAGAAGGAAGGCAGCCCCTCAGGTGAGGCAGAGATGAGGCCAGTACATCGAGACCGCTCAAGTCCAAACCCGAGACGTTCCGTGAAAGTCCACGCTCAGCCAACAACAGAAAAGGGACAAAGGGTCAGGACAGCGGTGGTTAGAGTGGGGACGTCCACCTGAGGGCTCCATTGTCACATCACTGGATGACCCTTTCATGGGAGGACAGAACCGGCTATGTCGGAGAGCCATTGTTTAAAGCCACAGCCAATACCACACATCAATGTTTCATGTGTTAGTTGAGCAACTGGGACTGTAAATTCTTTAAAGGCAGGAATCGTGTCATATGAGAGTCCTCCAAATGCTCCCCCAGCAGTTAGCACCGAGCTGCGCTCATGAGTATTTAATAACACCCATGGGATCATATTCTTTTGGGTCCCACAAAAAGAACGATGAATAGTAAATGGATTTACTGGCCCATGAGCCTCTCTCACACATACTTGTTTAAAAAATATAGATATTTTATATACTTGGAAAAAACATATATTTATACTTTTTCCCCAAGTATATAAAAAGTGCTTTTAATTCTGTGGCCCATGTCTTTCCTAAAATGTCAGTGTAGTAAGGAAACAGATACATTTACTGTACTTTACAGAAATGGTAATTGACAACTAGTATGTTTAATTGACTTGCTCCTAAAGACAGACTGAACCCTGAAACACAGGTCCACTGACTCCCCGGGAACTCTGTCCCACAGCCATGTGCTCCTTGTTCTCCTTCCAGTCCCCAGTCACCTAGCCTTAACAGGTACCCCAGACACATCCTGGCTTTTGTTCTGGCAATACAAACCATCATCAGAGGTCCACTTCTGACTTCGGCAAAGCTGACAGGTAACAGAATTGGATAACGGCCAGGAGTTTGTGAGCTGTGACTAGCCCATCTCTGTTAGCACGGAGGGAAGTCTGTGTACTGTTTCAGAATAGACAAAAGAACGCAGTGGGTAAGTCTCCAGGTGAGAAGGGATTCTAAGCAAGTGCTCGGCATATGCTGGTGCCAGTGTAAACACACACACACACACACACACACACACACACACTAAGAGCCACTCCAGGGGTCAGCGATAAAAAGGCAATGTTAGATTCTATTAAAATAATGTAAATAATACAAATAATAATAAATAAATAAGGCATGTGATGCACTGATAATGTGAGACTTGGGGAGGCTGAGGCAGAGAATCTCAAGTTCAAGGACAGCCCACGCAGTGTACTGGAAACTGGCCAGCTGGAGGAGGAGACCTGTTAAGTGGTTAGACACTTGCTGCTCTAAAAGTTTTGAGAGCGAAAAATTAGAGGGGGAAAAAAGGCTTTGAGGAAAAGGAACTCTTTCTTGCCGAGAGATATCAAAGCAGGATCTAACCTAGAATGTCGACGTGTAAAGATTTTTACTGTATTTTGTCCTGGATCTTCTATTACTTTATTAATAGAAAATTTAAATGTCTCTAGAATCTAGTCTCCTTCCTAGCACCAAAACCTCAAAGGAAAGCTGACCACACATGAGAAAGGAAAACGCCTCCTTTATTATTACAGCTCAGGTAAGATCTTTATGCACGTGGCCATTGCGTAATGGGCCTTTTGTAACAATACTATTAGAAGCTAGGTGCCATTATTAGTATTTTACACAGGGGGACGCCAAGGCTAAGAAAGGTTACATGTTGCTTAGGGTAATAGCATAGGCAGTAAGTGGCAGAGGATGAAAACAAATCCTGGTCACCTGTTTCTCAAATCTTTATCTGGAAGCCGTGGTGCTAAATCCTGAGTCGTGTGGGTGTTATGTATTTATGTATGGTGGGGTTAGGGAACACACAAGCTATTTTTGTTGTCATTATCCCGGGTTTACTGAAAATACTACAGCACACTTGAAAAGATTCAAATGACTCCATGTAGTGTTTTGACATTCATCCCAGCTGAGTGACCAGCAGGTAGAACAATGTGCCCAAACCCCAAAGCTCCGGGTGTCCTTTTGGTGTCAGGATCTGCCTCAGTGACGGCCTGACTCAAGACTAGATCTCAGGAACATCACCACCTCCCCTTCCTTTCTCCCTTCCGGCAGTCTGATGGATCCGTGGTTCGCAAGTCTCAGAGCCAGCTGGATCAGACGCAGCACAGAGGCAGCAAGCACACTCTGCTGCAAACGCTGGGAGTGAGAGGGATGTCCTGGTGCAGAAGTCCAGACTGCCTGGTGTTCCTCCGGTAGCCTGGGCCACCTTCCTTCTGCTTTCCGAGCAAAGGCAGCACGTGGTGGTAGGTCCCGGTAAAAGAGGGAAGAGGGAGAGATACTTTGTGTTACAAAGTTACCTACCGATGTTCTCAGAAACCAATTCACTATTACAGGATCCCAGCTGGTGTCCACAGCTGCAGAGTTTGTTATGTGGATTTAGTGGGTGACTAACAGTAACAAGAGGGGTACTCGGGTGACCACCAACACCACCGACGTTCAAGACAACGAAGAGGGCTCAGGAAGGGAACCTGGGAAAGCAATGCCAAGAGCAGGCGCACTCTGAACTGGGGATTGGAAATGTTTGAGGTTCTAGATCCCAGCGCTTCCGGGTAGCTCACAAAGGGCGGATCCGGCCATGAACTTCGAGGAGAGTCAGAGTGTGGAAATGTTCAAAGCTTCAGGGACTTAGCAACTCAGGCAGCAGGTGGCAGGGGAGGGGAGAGTGGGATTGCACCGGAGGCACCGCCGTTGCCGCAGCCCTTCCTGGAAGGTCGTGTTTTGCGCTGCCCAGTGGAGAGCAACCCACGCTCTCAAACCTAGGGTCCCCACCCACCTCCTCCGCAAGCTTTGATTGGCCGGCTTCGTCCCTAGACGAGCCAGTCAAAAGCTTGTTACCAAGGCGGAGCTTCCTCAGACCAGGCGGAGGCTGCAGCCCCAGTGTTGTTGCTGAGCAAGGAAAGCAGCTTTGCAAGCCTGTTCAGTACTTTAAATCCTAGCCAGATGCTACCGTGGGGACTGACGGAGGAGGGTGGGTGGCCGCGGGCTCCACCCTAGTTACAGAGCCTGGAGGCAGGGAACAGACACCTGCCTGCTCTCCTGCCCCAGCCTGCGCTTGCCCTCCTCCCCTCTGCTCGCCCTGGCTGGGTAGATCTGATTCAAAGCAACCGGTGGAGGGATCGCCAGGTGCCCAGCTGTCCCAGCTGAAAAACATCGTCATCGCTGCCTCACCTCTGAGCAAGACAGAACTGTCTCCGTGGGGAGGTGCCGACTCCACCAACTCACAAGCTTAGGTCCCCCACCACCCGACTATAAAATGAAGACCAAGTGACTCCTATGGGCAGGACTGAACCTTTAGGCCTCAGGAAATTGGAGGCTTAAGTGACAGGAGGCCTAACCAGTTAAGCTGACTATCCCATCTAAAAATCTGACTAGCAATGTCCAGGACGCTACAAAGCAAGAGTCTGGCCCAAAGTGCCTCAAGTCCTAGGGCAGACTTTTGGTTGAGCTAGTGAGGTGAGGAAGAGTGCGCTTGACAAGAGGGCTAAGTAAGGGACAGGATAGTCTAAGAGCAAGCTTCCAACCAGAGTGCCATCCCTAACAGGCGGGATGACTGAGACAAACCTACGCCACTGCAAAATACTCCTTTGTCCTCACACCCAATTCCTAAATCCCTGTCTCAGTCTCTAGCCTCATCTTATATACATGCATGTTGACCAGGTGATGGTAACAATATCAATATTTAATAGCAGTTATTAAGCTTAGTGTGAGCCAACACTATTCTGGGTGCTTCATAGCTATCAGCCTATCCCCCACCAGTAGAGAAACCTTTTATCTTCACGTCAAAACCAGTGAGAAGCTATATAACTTGTCTCCTGTCATGGCTGTAAGTGGCACAGTAGGAGGTGAATGTATGTCTTTTTTTTTTGGGGGGGGGGTCGGGGAATCCTTTCAATCTTGATCTTGATTGTCACTTTGTAACCTTCCTGCCAGGTGTGGCAGTGCCTTCTTGTAATACCAGCTCCTGGTTTGGCTGAGGCAGGAGGGCCATGAATTTGAGGTCAGCTTGAGCTACTTAGTGAGACCTTGTCCCCCTTCCCTGCAAAGTAGCCTTTCCAACAGTATTGCCAAGAAAGGTGTGACTCAGCCAGATGCAAAGACATCTTTGTCGTTAATCCTAGCACTCTGGAGGGAGAGGCAGGCAGAGCTCGGTGAGGTTAAAGCCAGTTTGGTCTACATAGGAAGACCCAGGCCAGAACTGCACAGAGAAACACTGTCTCAGAAAGTGGCTGGGTGGGGGGGCTCATTCCCTATCTCTGTAGAAGTCCCTAGGAACAAGGTCCAGGCCCACTCAGAGCAGTGGGAAGGAGATGGGGAGAGGACTAGAGAAAATGGGATTTTTCATGTTAGTGAATTTTACCGCTGAAGAAGAAGAAGAAGAAGAAGAAGAAGAAGAAGAAGAAGAAGAAGAAGAAGAAGAAGAAGCCTTAAGACAATCTTCTCACCCATATGCCCTGTCCTAGTCAACTGAGCCAGTTTAAAACATCCCAAGGGTCAGAAATGCTCCCCTAAACTGTGCAACTTTGTTGTCTCATTGCAAAATAGGGCAGACACCAACTTGGAAGTTGAGGCGTGATAGGCAAAGGTACCAGGAGCGCCTGAGAACTTGGCAGGCAGTCCCATTTTACAAGCCTTCTCTTTCTCCCCCTTCCCTTCTCGCGCATGCCCCTCCCTACTCCCTCCAGCCTGCACCCTTTCCCAGCTCACGGGGCACACCATCTGTCTGTCGCCCCCCTTCCTCGGGACTTAGGTCCTTTATTGAGACCTTTAAATAATTAAATGCCCCAAAGCTTCCCCTGCATTGATCCCAGCCCCAGGCCCGGGGTGTTATTCAAAGGCCAGAAGCTGGACTGGAGAGCTGCCAACCCCACCACCGCTATTCAGCTCCCCCCACCCCCAGCTCAGCTGCCATCCTATGGCTAATAGGGCCTTTCTCCTGCTTCTGCCCCCTTGTCTGCCAAGTACAGTCCGGGGGTGGGGGGTGAGGGGTAAGGAGGGAGAAGGCCATCAGGTCCACTACACGCTCATGCTCGCTCGGAAAAGGACAGGACCGCAGACCCGGGAAGGGTTAGACCAGCATTACCAGCCTCCCTGGAGGAACTAGGACCACCGCCGCCAAAGTGAGACTATGAGTTGTCAATCACCTGAGCAACGAGAGGCTTGGTCAGCCTCCTCATTCATGCAAATAACCCTGGCGAGTCGCTTAAAGTTTAGTCTAGACACAAAAGAACTGTGCGCCTCCCTCCGGCTGCCCTCCCTCCCCGCAGCCCCCCAGCCCAACGACAAAAGGCCGGGGCCCAGCGGTGCGTGAAGAGTGAATGGGCAAGCCCCTCCCTGGTGACGTCCCACTAGACAGATGGCAACAGTTACCCCGCACCAGTTGCAGGCCGTCTTTCATCCTCCTCCCCACCCCACATAAAGGAGGAAGGCCGGGTGGCTCAGGAACTCTTCATTTTCTCTACCCTGATGGGGGCGGGGGGGGGGAGGGGGAGGGGCGGGCAAGGCCTGGAAGGTGAGAGGCAGGCTAGCTGACGCTGGCTGTTTGGCTGCCAAACAAAAAGGTTGCTGAATGGCCGATGATGGGCCCAGCTTGCCCATCTGTGCGCCTCTGGGGAGCTCTGCCCCCGCGCTCCTCCTCGGCTTCTGGCCAGCCTTAAGGAGAGCCAGGGCCTCTGGGAAGAGAGGCCACGGTCTGGGGCAGCTCACTAAGCCTCAGTTGTTGGGCTTTGCGTTCTCAGGCTGTCACTGCGAGAAAATCCCTTGACCTGCATTGTTTTGCCGCTTCAGAAATAGGTTAAATGGAAAACCCAAGCCCTGAGGGGCAGATGGAGTTAACTAACTGTGGTGTTGGGAATGGTCTAGAAGGCCAAGTGTGGAAGGCTTCCTTCTCAGCTGACCCTCTGCTTGCGGCATGATTCTAGACCAGTCATCATTAGGCTGTCTGAGTTGCAGTTTCCTCTGTACCCTGGGGTATCAACACCCACTCTGATACCTCAGGCTATGGGAATATGGGTCTTTGCTCTCATTGTCCACACACTTATGCTATCCGGGCACAGGTATGGCACTTTCATTAGTTTTCAGAATCCTTCCCTGGTCATTTTGCCAAGTGACCAAGATGGCAGAGAGGAAAGGTGATGGAAACACCTTGGAGAAAGCACAAGCCAGCGCCTCACACCAGGCTCCTGAATTCCGCCTTTGTCTTCCTTCAGACGTTAGTCCAGCATGGTCAGTGGTGCCAAGAGCTTGCCTAACACAGGCAAGACCCTAGGATCCATCCCCCAAACCAAAAATCAGTAACGACCACAATGAGACGAAACTGTTCCAAATCAAAGGGGTGCGAGTTATCATCTGGATACCCATGAGCTCGGGCCTGAATACCCAGCTGCAGACTGACTGCACTGTGGGGGGCGCTGCTGAGGGAACACCAGGGGAGAGTGCAAGCTGCCATGGTCATTCTCCTCTGGGCTAGCACTCGGTCCCTCTCTTCTGCCCACACTGACCACCCATCGTTTGCTTTGACCACAGTGGAGGTGTCTAAGCGGGTTTGGGTTTCTAGTCTTGGCATTCAGACAGTGAAGATGTGTTTCCTGCAAAGGGACTTCTCAAGACATCTCTTTCCCAACCCTGCTCAAGCTAACCTCGCCCGACCCTGATCATCCCCTGGTCCAGCAATGAAGGCAGCATTTAGAGTCACCGTGCTGTACTGAAGCCGGGAGAGTCAGTGTCTTGGATCCGGTACTTTTATGTAAGTATCCTGCCACCTCCTTCCGACTGGCAACACCCTGAGGACCAGTTCTTGGGTTCTCTCTCCCTGCCAACCCCAAATTGTGCAAAGACCCATCTCTGCCCTTACGAGAATCTTATCCAGTGACACTCTTTGTCTGCTAAAGGACTGAAACTCGAAACCATACATATGGTCCTTCAAGTTGTCTTGCGCACCCAGCCCTGTGTGGACCCTGGGCTCTGGCAGTAACCCTCCTCAACCTTCAAATTCACAGAACACCGTGACCTTAATAAGCACATTGACATCCTGCTGAACCCTTCCGGCTATCTCTGCATCTTGTCTTAGGACAGAGGCAGTGCTCTCTTTCCCCCCTGAGAGGTACCAACAGGAAAGCCTATTAGCCAAGCCGTGGCTATGACAGGGAGGCATTTGCCTTTTGTAAAAACAAGAGAAGCCACTGGGCCCTAAGCCTCCACCCTGAGCAGACGGGTAAGAAAGGAAGTGGGTCACAATGAACACAGGAGCTTCTGTGTTTTGCATTAGGACCGGGAAGTCAGGAGCTGAAATTCCTGATTGCGGTGAAGCAATCAATCTGTCCAGCTGGCTGGTCTGTGTTAAACGAGGATTTTTCCAACCAGAATGAGTCAAAGGGCAAAGGAGAGACTCTCTGACAAGCCTAGGACAGACACCCTGCTGGCCACAGTCCTTGCTTCAGCACCATGCTCTGCCTGTGTTCCACACAGACACTGTGGAAGGTATTGAGCAATGTCGGGGCTGATCTCATGAACCTTCTGTTCGGGCTGAATTAGGACAGATAAACAAAGACAACTTTATGGAGAACATGTCTACATCTGCACACCACACACACAAGCACACTCACTCATACACAAGCACACACTACCACTTCCAAAGGCGTGGCCAAGGGAGGAAACAATGGCTTCTGACTGTCAGAACCTGACATGGCCAGGCATGGTGGCACACGCCTGTGACCCCAGCACGGTGGCACACGCCTATGATCCCAGCACGGTGGCACACTCCTGTGACCCCAGCACGGTGGCACACTCCTGTAAAACCCCAGCACGGTGGCACACTCTCGTAAAACCCCAGCACAGTGGCACACGCCTGTGACCCCAGCATGGTGGCACACGCCTGTGACCCCAGCACAGTGGCACACGCCTGTAAAACCCCAGCATGGTGGCACACGCCTGTGACCCCAGCAC